AATCAGTATCAAATTGAGAAAATGACCATTTTTTTTACTCAGATTTGGTGAAACATTAGGTAAACCGTGGGAGATGCTCTTAGAGCATTTTCAATTATTGTTGCTATAATATTATTATTATTGTTATAATTTGATAATGAATAGTATTATTTTGTCAAATTATAACAATGGTACTCCATGGTCATTTGCTATTTTGACAAATCCAACCAATTTTTCCTCTAAATTTATCGGTGTTGTTTGGATATAAGTTTTTTTGTGATTTTATTTTTGTTTATTTTTTGTCTTTTCTGACCTTTTTTAAACTGTTTGTAAAAAAAAATTATATATTTATATTATTCTCGACTAGACAAATACAAAAAATGAAAAAAAAAATTATGTTGATGAAATTAATTGTTTGGAAATTGCTTCAAATTGGTGAATTTTTTTAAAATTAATTTTTTTTGAATTTTCAAAATTGTTGGGTGAATTTTGAAAATTTAGAAATTGTTGGGTGAATATTGTTTGGAAATTTGGAAAGGATGATGAAATTGTGTAGTATGAATATTGAAACTATGTTTGGAAAGGATGATGAAAAAGGGAGGAAGGGAAGGAGGAGGTTGGTTGAAGTTGACTTGGCAGCTTTGGCAATTGCCAAAGCTTGTACCATATTTGATACAGGTTTTGGCATTTGTCAAAGATAGCAGCTGCTAAAAGTTGTCATTGGAACTGTCTTTCTATCCACTGCTGTCATAATTTGACAATAGCAGCTCCAATGGCACACCATTGGAGATGCTCTTACACACCTTTATCATAAATGTATTTTGTTATATATTTTTGAGATAAATGTTACTTCTTATTTTTTTATAAGAGTTAAGACAATTTATGATTGTGAAATAAAGTTACGTATTTTGTAATAGTATTATACATTTTTGTGGTCCAAACATTTTCTAACGATAAAATACGTAACAATGCTAAAAAAATTGCATAATTTCACTTATGAATCACAAATTATCATAACTTTTATGAAAAATATGTATAATATTTATTACAAAAATGCATAATATACATTACAAAAATATGTAACAAGATGCAAATTGTGATAACAAGTGTCTTGGTTATGACTAGTACTATATTATTGAAAGGCAGATGCTAACAAGTATAATTACAAAATTGTGAAAATATTTTTAATTTTTTTTTGCAATCAATAAAAAGTTATTTTGAACTTAATAAAAACTTTTTTTTAATTTAATTTAATTTAACTTATTTATTGACTTTTTCTTCTTTTTTTTTTTTTTTTTTTGTTTCCAACAACACTTGAATTTTTTTTTACAAAATTCATGTAAAAGAGCAATGCTATAAAAAAAAAATCACAAAATTTATGTAAAATAATATAGCTTAGTGGTAGGCCTAATAAGGGATTATCTGTCATAAATTGTTATATCTTCATCCCTCAAAATAACCACAATCCTATAATTATGTTTGAAAATTTCAATATTTTACAAATGAAACATAATTTAACAATTACAAGTATTTTTAAAGTAATATTATAATTATGTCTAAAAATTTCAATTTTTCAAAAATTGATACATTATTTAATAGTTACAAGTATTTTTAAAAGAAAGGGAGAAATTAAATACAAAAAATCCTTTGTCATTACCTCGTACTGTAAAGAATTCATTAAAATCTTTTAATTAGAAAAATTGTTACATCTTATCATTTTAGTGAAAAATTCTACAACATTTGAGAGGGCTTAAAATAATAATAATAATAAATAAATAAAATTAATAGGACAACTAAGAAATCCGAACAACTAGAAAACCACAGCGCAAAACAGCTACGAACATGTCATCGTCATGGAAATAAGAATTGACCAACGCCACACTACATCTACCAAATTTTAGTACAATACATGGTAAGGGTGAGTATGGTCTAGATTGGATTGAATTGGGAAAAAATTAAAATTAATTCGTTATTTACGGTTTTTGAAAAATTAAAATCAATCCAATCTATTTAAATCATGGAACCAATCCAAACCAATCCATTTAAATACAGATTCGATCGGTTTAGGATTACGAATTCACATAATTAAATAACAAATATATATATATATATAACACTTTAATTTCATAAAAATATAAACATAGCGTTATATTAGTTTCACAATAGCAACATGTTTTTCTATAATAGCGATATATTATTCTAGAATTTAAACAATTATAAGAAAATTAGTTTCACCATAAGTATTTAGACCATTACAAATTAAAACTAAAAACTAACAAACAAAAGTAATAAAAGAAGATATTGTACGGTTTTAAGTTTGAGTTTAGATTTTATATATAATAAGAGAAGATACTATGGGGGAGGATGTATAATAAAAATATAGACTATTTGTATACGGTCTGGATCGGTTCCAATCCGGAACCGTGGGATTCAATCTGGAACTAATCCGTAGACTATAGATTTTTAATTCTTCAATCTGGAACCGAATCGTGGATTCAAAAAACCAATCCAAACCTATCGGATTGGACTGGACTGGATCGGATTACGGATTTCACGAATTCCTTGCTTAACCCTAATACACCGACCAAATTTTAGCTTGTTTTGAATAGCTTCAATGCCGGTCATTTGAATGTTCATTGGTAATAAGGGTGATAGTTACGATTGATAAGGGTTGTACTGGTCGTTTGGATGATCATTTGGACGGTCAATAGACATGCATAAATTTGGATGATTCAGACAAATCCAAATTTGATGGAAGGATCATTTTTTATAAGAATTCAATAATCTCATGTACGTTATTATATTTTTATCTCCAAATAATTTTCTTAAATAAAATTCCTTACTACAAAATCATGTTACACATGATTTGACACAAAATTTATTTATTTATTTATTTAGATAAGTTACAAATACACTTCTTGATATTACTTAAAATATAAATTACTTCATCTACTTATAAAAAATTACATCTTGCCTAATGAAATTGTTAATTTCATAACAAATACTCATTTTACTAATAAATCATCAAGTTAATTAATAATTATTAATGATGTCATAAATTTATTTTATTAAATAATTCATGTAATTTTATTATTGTATATAAGAACAATTAAGAATTTTATTTTTTCAATTAATTCTGTTAAATAAAAAATTTTGACGAGAAGATATTTCTAATTTTCTAAACTACAGAAAATAATCTGCATTTTAAATAAATTTTAAAAAATATATTTATAATTTACCGTATTTGTTTTTAGCTAATTGACTTTGCTAGCCATTGATGATACGTGTTGTGTATATCTAAAGCTAATTGACTTTGATACGTGTTATGTATATCTAAAATTGAATTACATATTAACACCCCGTTTGTTTTGGGGTATAGAAGAGGGGAGGGGATTAAGATAGCAGTGGGACCCACCTAAAGTTCTTACGTGTTATGTATATCTAAAATTGAATTACATATTAAATTTTGTAATTATTATTACATTTAACATCACATATAAATAATACAATATATTATAAATAATAATTTATAGTTAATATAAATTAAAAGATGTGAGATGATAAATAAATTAATAAAAATAAATATTAAATATAATATTTTATATTATTACAAAAAATTAAACAACAATGATTCATCCCCCTTTTCCTCCCACCCCTTTGACCCCCTCTCTCTTTCATTGGTTACATTTTCTTTTTCTTTTTCTTTTTTTTCCTGTTCCCCCAATCACCACCCGGCACGTGACAAAGGGGTGAGGGGTGACCCCCAAAAGGGGGTCCCAAGCATTATTCAAAATTAAATAATATATATTATTCAATGTATTAGTGTAAGAGGATAAAGTTCACATTGGGATAAGTTTCTCTCTGGGTTAAATTTGAATAATTTGAATTTAATTGTTATGTTTGAATTCTTGACGTTTATCACATGCCTATTTTGATAATTTGAATAATTTTCACGTATTAGATATATTTTATAATCTATTTTCAAAATCACATATTAGATATATTTTATAATCTATTTTCAAAATCACATATCTATAACTTCAAATACAAACGCAATGACATAAAAATGTCATAATTTATTACAAAAATTAAGGTTTTAGAAACTAAAATTTAAGGACAAAATTATTTTTTAGAAACCAAATATTTTTATTACGAAAAGTGTCATTATATTTTTAACAATGAAAATTAAAAATTAGTGATAAATTATTATCTTTTTTAGACTAAATTTTTGGTCCCAAAAAAATAAATTTCTTTAAGACCAAATTATTTTGTCACTAAAAGTATAATTATTAGTGACATTTTTAAAATTTTATCGTTAAAAGTCTTGACTTTTCGGGACAACATTTTAGCGACTATCCTCATGATAATAGAAATTGTCTAATAAATGTTTTTTACAACAAAATGTTTACTTTTAGAGACAAAAAAAAATTAACTTCTAAAACTCTTCTATGTTGTGATTATTGAATCAATCTTTTTTTTGAATAAATTACAAATATACTTAAATTTTATTTAAAATATGAATTATCCCTCAAAAATTTTAATTTCATAATAAATATCATATTTTATTAATAAATTATCAAGTTAATTAATGATTTTTAATGATATTAAAAATTTATTTGAATTAATAGTTTAGGTAATTTTATCATTGTATAAAAAATAGTTAGGAATTTTTATTTTTTCAGTTAATTCTATTAAATAAAAATTTTTGATAATAAGATATTTATAATTTTTTAAAACCATAATAAGTAATACATATTTTAATTAAACGTATGGTGTTTTTGTAATTTTCTTTTTATGAATAATATAAAACAGAAAATTACAAAACAAACCATTTCAGCTGAACACGTCAGAATAGTAACCCGGACAAGACGAAAACCCTCAAATTGAGTTTCCAATGAATAAAAAAATTAAAATAAAAATAAAAATTAAAAAAAAAGTATAAACAATCTTTTTCCAAACCAACCTTAAACCTTATCACATTTGCCAACGCTTATGTTCCCTATTTATAATTGCAAAAAGCAACAAACTCAATCCGCACCCTAGTCCGAGAGAGAGAGAGAGAGAGAGAGAGAGGGAGATGGATGAGTTGAAGCCAAGGCCAGCAAACTCTAGTCCTCTAACTCCCTTGGGCTTACTAGAAAGAGCTGCCACAGTGTATGGGGACTGTCCTTCTGTGGTGTACAACAACACCACTTACACGTGGTCAGACACGCACCGTCGATGCCTCCTAGTCGCCTCCTCAATCGCATCCATGGGCATCAAACAAGGCCACGTGGTGTCCGTGGTGGCCCCCAACATCCCCGCCATGTACGAGCTCCAATTCGCCGTCCCCATGTCCGGCGCCATCCTCAACTCCATCAACACCCGCCTCGACGCCCGCACCGTCTCCGTCCTCCTCCGTCACAGCGAATCAAAGCTCGTCTTCGTCGATTACCAATCCACCTCTCTCGTCCTCCAAGCCCTCTCTCACTTCCCTCCAACCTCTCCCCGCCCACCTCTAATCCTCATCGCCACCGACGACGGAGCTCCGCCGCAATCCGCCGTTGACTTCATCAACACGTATGAGAGCTTGGTGGAGAGAGGTGATCCTGAGTTCAAGTGGGTCCGGCCAAAGAGCGAGTGGGACCCGATGATCTTGAATTATACCTCCGGCACCACGTCATCTCCCAAGGGGGTGGTTCACAGCCACCGTGGGCTTTTCATCGTCACCGTTGATTCACTGATGGACTGGTCAGTACCCAAACAGGCCGTCTACCTGTGGACCCTACCCATGTTCCACGCCAACGGCTGGAGCTTCACCTGGGGGATGGCGGCTGTCGGCGGTATCAACGTCTGCGTCCGGAAATTCGACGCGGCGGTGATCTACGCCGCTATACGTAAACACGGCGTCACCCATTTATGCGGCGCTCCCGTGGTTCTCAACATGCTATCCAACTCCCCCGACGGTAAGCCGCTAGAGAAGCCGGTTCAGATTCTGACCGCCGGAGCACCGCCGCCCGCGACGGTGCTGTTTCGGACCGAATCGATGGGTTTTGTAGTGAGTCACGGGTACGGGTTGACGGAAACGGCCGGGTTGGTGGTGTCGTGCGCGTGGAAACCCAAGTGGAATCGGCTACCGGCGACGGAGAGAGCGAGGCTGAAGGCCAGACAAGGGGTGAGGACTATTGGGATGACGGAGATCGATGTAATTGATCCGGATACCGGGTTGAGCGTGAAGCGAGATGGGTCGACACTGGGTGAAGTGGTTCTAAGAGGTGGGGCGGTCATGTTGGGTTACCTGAAAGACCCGGAACGAACATCAGAATGCATGACAGAGAACGGGTGGTTCCACACCGGAGATGTAGGGGTGATGCACCCAGATGGATATTTGGAGATCAAAGACCGATCCAAAGACATCATCATCACCGGCGGCGAGAACGTGAGCAGCGTGGAGGTAGAGTCGGTGCTGTACTCTCACCCGGCGGTGAACGAGGCGGCGGCGGTGGCTCGGCCGGACGAGTTTTGGGGAGAGACCCCATGTGCATTTGTGAGTCTGAAGCCGGAGATCGCTGGAAAGAAGCCGACGGAGAAGGAAATCATAGAGTATTGTAGAGCAAAGATGCCGCACTATATGGTGCCGAAGACGGTGGTGTTCAAGGAAGAGCTTCCGAAGACATCGACTGGGAAGATTCAGAAGTTCGTGCTCAGAGACCTTGCCAAAGCCATGGGATCTATGAACAAAAGTCGTATGTAAAATGAGTTTGTCTTCACATTCTTGATTGCTCAATCTGATTAACCAATTTGGAAATATGATTAAGGCCAAGTTTGACGAGCAAGGAGTGATTTTTCTCTAAAGTTTACTAGAGTGCTACATTGTGTGGTTGATGTGACTTGCTAGTAAATCTCAACCACACAATGTAGCACTCTAGGAAACTTTAAGAAAATTTCACTCTAGAGGATCCTTGGTAAGGTTTGACATATACAAAATAATTTATCTTTTTATTTATTTTTTATCACATTATTTTTTTCATCTTTTTATAAAAAGATAAAAAATACATTTATTTAGGTCATTCCAAACAAGCTCTAAAAGTGAAATTTTAAGTTTTAATATATTTTGAGTTATGTTATTTTTTGAAAAATGTTTGGTAGCTCAAATTTTTGTGGCTCAAATGGCTCAAATCTGTCAAAACGACGTCGTTTTACACTTAAAATCTGTCAAAACGACATCGTTTTGGTAAATTTGAGCCATTTGAACCACAAAAATTTGAGCTACCTATCATTGTCGTATTTTTTTATATGTTTTTTTAATAAAAATTAAAAAAATAATTTTAACCAATTTTTTCAAAATAATTATGGAGAAATTTTACTAGAACTATTTTGTTGAGAAATTTTTTTATCAACAATGTCAAAGGGTCACAATTTTTGTGGTCACAATGGTTCAAAACTGTCAAAATGACATCGTTTTGACAGTTTTGAGCCATTGTGGCCCTCAAACATTTTTTTTTTTTTTTGGATCAAGTTGAGAAAAATGTTTAGGAACACATAAATTCATCTTTCATGTAGATATAATTTTTTCAAATAAATTGTGTTTTATGGGTTGTATTTGATTTTGTATTCAGAATTTATTTGACATTTTTTAAATAAGTATTTTTTTAATTTATTTAAATAAATATACTTATTTAAGTTATATATTTTTTATTTTTTTTATATATTTTTTTATAAAAAATTAAAAAATATACTTATTTATCCGTAATAATAGTGAAAGGAAAAGTATTTTATGCAATTATTTATTATTATTTTCAATGACCACTCAAAATAGAATAAATTAAAATTACTAATAATCTATGACGACTTTAACAAAAATGTGGTTTGACCAATAGCGCAAACATAACTGAATTGCAATAGTGGACTAACAAATTAGGTTTGACTTGGAAGTGAGTGCACTCAACTGGGGAGGATGGTAACTACTAGAGGTGTTGTTTGAGAAGTTAGTTTGTGGTTAAAATAATCACAAAAGGTAAAATATGTTATTTTAGTCACAATAAATAAAATATTATATTTAATTCATAATTATTACACTCTTTTTTCATTAAAAAAAGTCAAAAAATCAAAAAATTCTTTTCAAACCAAGCTTTTTAGCCAAGGTTAAAATAGTCAAAAAAGTCAAAAAGTCAATCTACTTTCCAAACGGAGGCAGAGTTATAAAGCACTTTCCGATCAATTGTATATATATTTATTTGCATGAAATTAATTTTTTGAAAATACTTTCTTACAATGGTAGTGTTACATGTATCAATTAGTGTACTAATTAGTGTATCAATACTAGTTATGATATTATTATTGACTCCACTCATTAATCACATTACAAGTACCAAAAACCTCTTAAATTATGTTATATTATCAATTAGTACACTAATTGGTGCATATAGTATTATTCTTACTGTTAGTCACAAAAATTTTAGTAAATCTTTTTTTCTAATTAATCTTGAAACTACCAAAAAAAAACTTTTGGTGGTCTTTTGGGATGATTCAAACACGAGTAATTTTGCGAAAGGATAGGTATTTGAATTTTCTGCAATAAATTTAATTTTTTATTTTAAGATTTTCTTTGTATTAATTACATGTTGTGTTTAATCTCTATTATGATTCTGATTTATTAGACTTTAATAATTTAAAAAAAAAAACAAAACAAAAACTGCCTCCAATTTAATTTTTCATAATATACTCAAATTACTCAAGTCAATATTACAAAAGAATTTTGTTTTCACTTCTTGTGCCTTGATCCCATTGATAATGCACCAAAATAATTCAATCCGAATTAGGAATGGCAATGAGGCGGGGCGGGGCGAGGCCAGGGATCGCACTCCCCGTCCCCGATCCCCGGTGGTAGAAATTTTCCCATCCCCGGCCCCAATCCCCTACGGGGAGCCTATCACCGTCCCCATCCCCGCCCCCAACGGGGAACGGGTTTCCCTGACCCCGAAAACTCCTCGGTCAAAATAAAACAATATAAATATCCAACAACAACAACAGATCGAACACCACTACCAAATCATATCTGTTCTTCATCATGATCATGATCATCATCATCATCAACAACAACAACACACCCAAATTTAAAATATATATTCAACAGATCGAACAGATCTAAGCTCAAATGTAAAAAATAAAAAATAAAAAATCTAAAACATTCACAGAGAGAGAGAGAGAGATGTCAAGAATAAGCACCCTATTTGGAGACATACCCAACAGACATACCCTGTTTGGAGACATACCCTATTCATCATCTTCCTCATCAGCCCAAGTTCTAAAAAAGTAATACCCAACAGACATACCCAAAACCACAGCGCAAAGCACACCTCCATTGAATGACATGATCGAGAGGAAGGGGTTCTCAATCGGCGGTCGAACTGAGGCCGAACAGAGCCGCCGTGGCCATTTTTAGGGTTATGGTTGCGGCAAAGTTTGGAGAAGAGAGGGTTCTCGATCGGTGGTCGAACTGAGGAAGAGGAGGATGGAGATTGCCGCTGACGAGGGGAGAGGAGTTGCTGACAAGGGGGTTCTGCGAAGAGAGAGAGGAGCCGCCAACGAGGGGGTTCTGCGAAGAGAGAGAGAGAGAGAGAAAAACCGAGAGGGATGAGATGAAAGGCGGTGTGATGTAAGAGGCGGTTGTGTTTTAGCTTAGGGTTTGGTTTATATATATATATATAAGGGTATAATAGTAATTTCACATCGGGGAAACGAGATCGGGGAAACGGGGACGGGGTTGGGGTTGGGGTCGGGCCGGGTACGGGGCTAGGACACTTATCCCCGTCCTTGGCCCGAAACTGATCGGGGATTAGTTTTTGAATACCAACCCCACCCCGTTGGGCCGTTGGGGATATTTTTCGGGAAAAAATCGCTCAAATTGGGGTCGGAGAGTCAAGTCCCCGTCGGGCCGGGTTTAAATTGCCATCCCTAATCCAAGTTGTAAAATCGTATCACATAGTTCCAGTAACAACAAATTGCTTCAAAAAATACAAAAAATATAAAAAAAAATAATAATTTAGGTGCATTATCAATGGAATAGGTTTGTTAAGGGCAATTTTTATGTGTGCAAATATATACTATATACATTTGTGTAAAATTTTACAAATATACTGAAGTTATCTCACAACATCGTGTTAACGCGATTTTGTGAAATAATTCGTATATTTGTGAGAACTTACGCAAATATATATGGTATGGGTTTCGATAACCATTTTGTGTAATCGGGTATAAACCTTAAAACTTGTAGCCTATGAGGGCATTAAATTATATTTGACTCGTAGTGCCATATGCTATAGATTTATATTTTAAGAATTGTTGAATGTGTAATTGTATGTAGAATACTTTTGTTAATTTCTAGAGTATAATGAATATGAAATTTAGATATTTGATGATGATTTAAATGATGAGACATTATATTTCGTATACATATATGTAAAGGAAGTTATTAAGTTTGGAACAAGATCATACTAAATTTGAGTTTTTCTTATATTAATAATTTGGGGGCGTTACAAAATCAACCAATACAAATTAAAGTGCTACTTGATCATCTTATTTATGTGAATATATTTAAAATTGGTAAATACATACCTTTAATATTTTTTTCATAATAAAAATAACAAATATGTACATATTTATGCATGTTTGTTAAAAAATTTAAATTTGGGTAAAATTTTATTTAATAATATTCAAATTTATTAAATTAATATTTAGATATAATTATGTATGAAAAAAAATAATCCAAGACCAAGTTGAGTTAAATACATCGTGAGTCATGTTATAATCCTATACCCGGATCTAGCTAAGAAAATTAAATAAAATCATACACAACAATTTGTGTAATATTCGGTAAATGATTAGTTAAAATTATATAATAGTTTGGGTAAATTACACTCACCTTCCTTGATATTTCTGACAAATATAGGGACATCCCATGTGATTTCAATAATTACAATAACCTCTCCTATTTTATCTGACATTTTTCAAATTTCCCCATTTCGTCATATTGGAACAAATGGTGTCACTTGCATATAATAAATTACCTTATCACCCTTCTTTTTGAGCACAAAAAGAGGATACTACCCTTGTCCCTGTAGCTTGACTTTTTCGCGCCCCCCTTTCGAAGAGTTCGAATTGGTCCTACAGTTCGGACTCTTGTCACGGTTTTAAATCTAGTCTCACAAGTGCAATGTGAAACTGATAATCACTAAAGAGTCCAATCCGGCAAATCATTTTGAAAAAATCGATTTTAAATCAAATAATGCCAAAACTGGACTGCTTTGCCAGATTACAGAGTCGCCACCTAAATATTTTATTTTTGAGAAATTTAGGAAACCTTGACTCGTGCCAAAGGCCACGTGTCTGTCATCACCAAAGTTGCCTTGGCTCGGGAACTTGAGTACGAGAGGGGAAGGTCCTGAAATGAGTACCCCCGCTCGCCCGATCAAAGATCGGCCTCTACTATCATGATATGTTGTTTGATAAATCTCATGTGTTTTTATTTTGATTATTAGCTAACTTTACTATGTGACGTACACAAGCAAGTATAGACTAAAATTGCAATAATTGGAACAATTCAATTCATGTTTGTTTGCGAAAATGGTTTGAATTTGCCACCCTCAAGCGGGCTAAAACGCGGATTTGCCACCTCAAGTCGGCTTAAAATTCACATTTATTGAATCGTTCCAATTCAAACAATCAAGCCTTCATCCACAGGCATTCATGCAATTAATCATTTAAGCAAATAGTCTCATGGCAAGCATGCGAAACATGGCAATATGGCA